TTGTGCAATTTAATCTCCAAGCAGGGGCTGCTCATCATCAAATTCACTCGCTTGCACACGCTTTAAATGTGAGCTGTGCACGTGGAAAACATAAGACCAGAAATTAATTCCCCGCACTTGGCACACACTGCGGCGTTTTAATTCAAGAGAGAGAGCGAAAGCAAGTTAGTCCCCCTGCTGACCATGGCCGGTGCGCGCGGAGAAAGAGCATCAAAGGGGTGGGCAGCAGCGGCAGGGGTGCGGGGCGGCGGGGGTGGGCGTTTGCGGCGGCCAAACAGCATCTCGGGGCGCAAATTGTGAATTGTAATCTCTCCCGGCGGTGCTGTACGTTGCGTACGTACACTTTATTGATTCGCACGCCGTCCACCGGACGAGTTAGTTTTCTCTCTGACCCGTCAAGAATGCAGCGCAGCTCTCGCCCTTATATGCATGTGTCCATCTTCCGAGCTCCACGGCTGAGCAAATTTGCAACTTTATATAGGTGCGCCCGTTGTACATACATACGTATATACCTAGGCTCTCGCCCCCTGTTAAAAAAGAAGTAACCTGACTTGAACAAACCCCTGGCCATATAATAATGCGCGCCTTACATCCATCTGGCAGTTGCCTAGGCAACCACATCACCGCGCACTGCACGATGGACACACAGGGTTAATTCTAGAGGACGCGCTCAGAAGAATTTTACATCTTGTTTTCCCCGAAGTCCAGATTCGTTAATTTATTTTCAGCGCGGTGCGCTTTTCTTCCGGTTCGTGGAAAAGTGCCATGATCCGATATTTTCCGCAAATTTTAATTTAATCACTTTGCAGATTTTTTACAGCACAGTAGACAATTTCTTTTATAATTTGTAAATCAGCGAACATAATTTTGTTTTGTTTTTGAATTATGAATATTATTTCAACGCAGCACGCCGTTTGAATTCTGGTCTAACAAGCATGAACCTAATTGGCAATTTTATATCTTGAGCTAGGTTTTAATTTCATGTATGTATTAGGTCCTACAAAAAATACAAGAGGGATAAAAGCTATGAGAGGATAATAAAAATATGCTTAAAAAAATAAGTTAAATAAATAACAATAGTTATTTAAGGATTAAAATAATTTATTTTAATTATGTTAATTTCTGAAATATTTTTGTTTATCATTGCAATCATATTTTAGAATTTAAAATTCTAATTATTGTCATGATAAATTTGGCTTTTTTTGTTTCATCCTTCTCAAAATGAACCAAGTCTTCTTTCCTCCCTCTCTATGGCAAGTAATTTCGGGGACGAAAGGACCTCTAACGGAGTGGGTGGCTCGAGGAGGAGCAGTTGGCCAACTCTAGGACCATACTCTATTTACTTAGCAGCTCGTATGCAGAAGAGCTGGCTGGCGGAGGCAGCAGGGGAGAGAGCGCGCGAGAGAGGCTGACAAGAAGCGGAGAGAGCTGAATTATTAGAGTAGCCGGCCAAAACTAATGTTGTAAAATACTTGGCCGTGCGCTGGCCGCACAAGATAAAACGCCGCACACGTTCTATGTAGGAGGCAGAGAGTGAGAGTGGAGAGACAGCCCGTGATTATTATGCCCAGGGAATTTGAATTTTTAACAAAGCAATTTCGCCTGGATAACAAGCCGACAAGCAAGCGCTCGCCTCTTCCGCGCGCAGAGATATTGTCGAGGCTAGTTTTGCGCGTGGTACATAAGGAGTTTCGCGCTGGTGATTGCTGATTTGATTAAGTAAAACCGACCAGCAGCAGAAGCGACCACACGGCCACCAGAATGATGCCGGACGCTAGCGGAATAATTTAGTTCGGCGCAGAAGCTGACGGATGATCGCATTGTCGTCCCGAAATGATTAAGAGCTCCACTCTTGAATTAATAAGACAAAAAATTAAAAATAAAATTTAAACGCAAAAGACTGTTCTAAACGTGGTTAAATAAACTGATTTGTTCTTATGATGGTAAAAATTGTGAATATTCTCCAAATTGACTCTAATTGTAAGATTAAATCAGGTAATTTGATTTCCCTGTTAAAAAAAATATCTAAAACTTAAGTTTACAGAAACTTATTCTTGAAAAATTATTGAATCAGCTTAACAAGTGTAAAAATTTAATACCTACAAAAGTTAATAAATTAATTAATTAATCCACTCTCCTTTATTTTCCTCCAATTGAAAGTGAAACTTAATATAAAGTAAGTAATATTCATGATTTTATGATTTTGTAATTTTCACATATAGCACTTTTGCGTCGTTACGTGAAGTTTATCCCTTTGAGTTTTAATCATCAAAGAGAAATTCAACTAAAATTCTCATGTACTGAGCAAGAACAAATATTTATGCTCTGATAATGAGAATGAATTTTGTGCCAACTTTAAACAGGATATCAAAATTGAAAACAAAGCTAATTTTATGTTTCCCAATTAAAGCCTTAAGTAGAAAAATTAATTTCTTAATCAATGACTTGAGATTTTTTATTAAGAGTTGAAAATCCGCTCAATATCAGAATTCCAAGTTACATTTTTCATTTTTCCCACAACTTATGATTCACAAATTTTTGCCAATTTTATTTTCAAAATTTTAAAATTACGCTGTAAAAAAGTTTTTTTTAAGTTAAAAATTATTATATCTTCCTCGTTTTCAAGACGTGATCTGAATCAATCTAATGAAACAGCTTTAAAAATTATATTTTTTCTGGTTTTATTTTCAAATTCTATCCTATTACATTATCTCCACTCCAATCGGTTTATTTATTTAATTGACTCCCAACTAAGAGCTCAATAAAGCGTCGAAAATTCCGGCGCTTAGCGTCAGTGTTGGCCGATATCCCGACAGAAAGTCGAGAGGAAAGCGAAAGCATAGCATTGGACGGACGGACGGCAGCACTGCATGTATTTATCTTTGAGCCGGCCAAATTCACTGCAGCAGCAGGCAAGTGGTACGGAGCGGGGCCGAAATTCTCTCTATCGCTGTCCAACACACGGGCCACGAGATATCGGCAAGACGAAGTGCCGAGAGCAGCCAACTGAATCAGCCCCTGCTCACATAAAACCACCCATGCAACCCGCCCGGCCTGCCTGCTCTGCCGGCTGCCTATTTCAAATAACTTTCGCTCTAGCTGGCCCCACGCGCGCTCTCTCTCTCCCTGCTTGCTTGCTTTCGTTTCTAGCAGATGGGAAATCGATTCCCGGCCTTAAATCAACTTGATTTGCAGCATGCAAAAATGCGGGATGGATGTATTCGGCTGGCTCGCATGGAAATGAAGCTGTTCCGCAGGAGTCGACTCGACTATCGCCAATATGGAAATGCCTCTTTTCTTTTCCACCTGGCTTACTGGCGAGACGCGCACTCGCCACTTCTGACGCTGATGCAACTTGCCAGTTATGCGATTGCCTTGCCACTGATCGCTGGGGACCGGCCGAGATATTTGACTGCAAGGGTGCGAGGAGGTATTTCAGGAAAATCTTATCAAAGTTTTTTATGGATTATTATTGTAATTAGAAAATCAAGAGGTTTAATCAAAGCCTGGAATTTGATATTATTAATTCGGAATTGTAAAAACCCACAAAATTTCACTTTCACCTCCTTTTTTTAAAACCCGCTAGAAACAGTTGTAGTTTTAAATTGTTTATCTAGCAACCAAAAATAAAATATTAAAGATTAAATGGACTGGAATTTTTGTTTGTATAATTCTTCTTACACCCAAACAACAAATAAACGTCAAATTATTATGAATCATTTATTTTTATGATGCTCTTTTTTTGCAATAAATACAATTTCTATTCTTTTTTTAAAATAAAATTTTGCAACTGAAAAAAAGAACAATTACATGACGTAAGAAATTAATAAATGGAATAAATATAACAAATTTTATGCTGCTCTAATTTCAATTGTTAAAAAAAAATTAATCATACCTTAATAAACATATCCGAGTGAAGCCCTAATTTAATTTTTAATTTTTGTATTATTTGAAAATAATCTAAATTTTTAAATCTTGATTCAACTAAAGAAAGGCCAATATATGTGGGAGTAATTGTGAAAATATTACATACTGTTTACAAGATCACAATTTTTTTCTATTTGCTGAATGATCTTGCGTTCAGGGCAATCTTTAGGCAGAAAATTGGCGTTTCAGTAAATTTGCAAACGCCGACAGCAAATATGAAATAAGAAATTGCATTCCTGTTTGCATCGCATGGCTAAATTGGAGTGCATTCCTTAGTTGAGCCATTCCTGGTGCCCAAAGGGCCAAAGAGAATGGAATTTTTGGAATTTTCGTGTCCGCCGATTGCTGCCTGCTTTTGCATTACTGACCGATTGCCCTTTCCTTTTGAATCAATTTAAATATTTCTAGCAAAGAGACTCAAATAATTCATTTTGATAAGGAAATATCTCTTTATTAAAAATTGAAATGATGTTTAATCATAATAAAAAAAATTCTTGGAAAATTCAAAAATAAAAACGACTTATTTGTTCTGTTTTTTTTTTTTCATCTCACAAGCTAGCATAAATTATTTTTGCTCCTGCCAACAATCGTTTTAGTTTTGGTCCACGCAGATGGGAGAGCAAAACGGAATTGCGTTCAACTTGGCGCCCATCACTCACCCACTCACTGCCGTTGTCCGGCACGATAAAAAGCAACAAATAATAAAAGCGGTCGCGGTGTATAGCGGAGTCGTTAGAGAGCAATTTTTCAATCGGCCGCACGAGGGCGAACAACAGGTTGCCGCTGCGGCGGGTGCAGCGCGCAATACATCACACGCGCGCATTATTATATTTTCCGCTCTTTTTATCCGCGCGTGTATCTGACTGGGCGCCGCGGAAAAACACAAATACACCCTCGCTAGGCGATATATCACAACCTCTCTGCCCTTTGACCGCCATACATGCAAGTAAAGTCAAAATTCCCGCCGGGGTCACACCCTTTCACCCGATCATCCCTTTCGACCCAACTCGACAAATGTGTCAAAGCCGAATGGGGTCACCGATTTTCGAATTCAATATTTAAATCGGACTAACCTGTTGCTTGTGGTCCCCGGGGGCGGCAGCCGGAAGCAGTGGGGGCAGCGGCGGCGCCTTGGTTTTTGGGGCGTTCTGGAATTCCAACTTCATTTCCGACTCGTAGTTGAAAACACCCCTGTTAAGTTAAAAGTTCAGTGGTTTATTTCAATAATTAATTAATTGATATTGTTAAATTATTTTATGGTTTTTTCCTTCCAGTTGTTAATTCTTCAATAAATTAGTAAATAATTTTGGAAAATCATATAAAAACTACAATTTTTTAGTTAAAAATTAGCCAAATTAATAATTGGGCTTTAAATTAAATTTAATCCTGTTTTAAAAGGAAATTCTTTCATTATCTTTTTAATTATTAAAAAAAATGCATTTTTCTATCATTCATTCTATCTTCATTTAAAATAATTTGTCATTTATTATTTCCCTTTAAATTTTTGTTTATAAAAAAGACTAACCTGCAGACGGGGCATTTGATTGAAGGCACTTTGATTTTGAGGCCTATTTCTTCATCCTGGCAATTGTGTTTGATCCAAATTTTCATGCATCTGATATGTACATGGTTTCCACAACTATATCTGCAGTGAGTTACTAAAATTTTCCCTCTATAAAATGAAAATATTTTCTATTTTTTCATAAACTTACCTGGCTGTGGCTTTTGCAAAAGAGGCTCTAGGCAGATGGGACAGGCGTCCTGCTGGGTCAGAGGTCGAGGCTCAACAGAGGGCAATTTGCTTTTTTCCGGTTCCAGATTGGGCAAAATTCGGCTAATCTCGCTGGGTGACGGGAGTTGATTAAAAATCAAAGCTCGCGAGGCAAGTCCAGTCATAGGCACTGCCGTCTTCAAAATCGTCGAAGTTTCTCTTTCAACCATTCCGAGCTGGAAACATATATCAAGTGTATAATGACACAATTAATCCTCTTTGGGACAAAATAATTACTTGGAAAGAGAGAGGATTTGTCGGCGAGAGACGGAAAAGTCTGAGAATGGCCCAGCACAGGTGGACGCAGAGCTCTTTTTCCGAGATAAAGGTTCGGCAAGAGCAAAAGTGTCGACCGGACAGGTGGACTTTGATCGGCTTGGCTGCGGCGGTCGCTCTCAGGACGAGACTCAGAGGTCCTGGTCGGCGCACTAGAAACAGGGTCGGACCGTACAGGGCCTGCAGCTGGCGGCATCGGACGATTTCCGGACACTGAGACCGCCACGGACACTCTCGAGACATTTTTCTAAAAAGAAAAAAAAAATTAGATTGTGAAAGAAATTAATTAAATTGTTAAACTTTGAATGAAAGAGTTTTTTTTATTAACACAAATCTCTCATCATCAGGTTTTTGTTTGAAGGAAACCGCGTTTATATTTAATTCATTCTCATTCTGAGAATCAACTTTGTATGGAAAATATAATATCCAGGCAAAAAGCACACACGTGCCTCATCATTCGATCAACAAAATAATTCGCGGGCCAGCGAGCAGCAACAGGGAAAATGGAGCTGCGGTTGGCCGATCAAAGGCCGTGCACAAGGAAGGAAGTGACCAGGAAACGCTCTTCGCATTCCAGGTGGATAAGACATCAGAGAACTCGAAAGGTGCATCTCAATAAGCGCCGCTGATTATCAACAGATATATAAAGAGGTGGGAGGCATCTAATGTTACTTTAATGGTCCGCGCGCGAAATCATTTCGCTTCAGCGTAGGGAGACAATATTCGCGGGAAAGGAAAGTGAAGGACACAAAGGAGGAAACTCCGTCAAATATTTCTCGCAAATTTTTTAGCAAAAAAAAACAAAAAATGTATCTTGATCGTTGCTCTATGCATGAGAGGAAAAAGCTATTTTGGATAAAAAAAAATAGCTTCCAATAATAAAAAAAATTTCATGCTAAAACATACAAATGGAGTGATATTTTATTATTTATTTTAATTTAATTTTTTTTGTCTTTTTAAATTTCCAATCTTTATCATAATATATAATGGAATGATGGCACATAATAAACTGGAATTATAGCAACAAATACTTAAATCACAACAACTGATATAATGTAAAATTTAAATAGCTATAAAATAGACAAACCCAGAATAAAAGTATAATAAAATTAATTGGTTTAACATTCCAAATACACAATTCCTTGATTCAAGCGCATTTTATTGTAATTTTTCGAAAAGCAACGTCAAATAAGTAAAAATTTCTCAATTTCAATCGATCGATATAATTCAATTTCCATAAGTTTCTTAACAATTAACAATTATAACAATTAACAGTTTTTTTTTTAAATTGAACAATATTCTCATTTACTTATTCTCAATTCTATTCATATTTACTGTCATAAACACCATTTTGATTAAAAAAAAATCTTGTCTTATTTTAAATATAATTTAATTTTCTTTTTATTTGTAATAAATAGAGATATTAACCTTTTCAAATAAAAAACGAAAAACGTATTCCCGATTTTCTCAAAAGAGGTTTCATTTCAGATTCAACGCATGCACTCGCGCGCTGCATAAGCAGTGCCGCGTGGACCAGAGGAGGTTTCGGCTTCAAGGTGTCCGGATATAATATAAAACGCACGATATTACGCCGATGCAGCAGCGGCAGCATCAATATAATACGCGGGGCGTGAGATGATATCAAATGAAAAAGGTGCACACACCGTCCATATTTGTATGATGGAGAGCGTCGGCCTGGTGATTGAAAGGCGCTGAAGGGGGGTGCCACATAAAGAGATTGCAAAAAAGGGGTGGCTTCGTCTTCTATATGTATTATCCCGTGCTGGATATATATTGGAGAGGGGCAGCCGTGGCGAAAAAAAAAATAAAAAGAAAGAAAGAACGAGGAGATCTCTTATTTTGAACACATGCTATCTCTGGAAATAAGAAAAAAAAGAAGGAGCCGCCGCACACACACACGAGAGATATTTCCCAATTTCTGAAGTCACCAGGTTTTATAGCCTGTGTTTTATGGCCCTGTTTCGGTTTCGGCTTGGAAATTCAATCTAGAGACCTTTGGTCTTGTGCGAGTGCTCGCCCGCTGCAGTGTGTGTTGCGTATATGCCAATGTCAGTCGGGTGGCCCCTCGTGACCTCGCCGACGAGAATCACACACGTCTACGTCCGCCGCAGCCAAACACATATCCAAGCAATTACGTGTTTTCACTGCATTCGTTTTCCTTGCAGGTCATGTTCGAGTCAAAAATTTTCCGAAATTTAAAATATTAAACTTTTTTTGTTTAAATTATTATTCTGGTTCATATTTTTTTCAATTTAATTTTTTCTGATTCATTCTTATTTTAAATTCTTCATTGTAACAGACATCAATAACTGACACGAGACACAAAATGGAAATAAAAATTTTAATAAATTAATCAATTTGAATTTTCTTATTCAAATAAAAAATAAACTCTGAAATAATATAATTTAAAAAAAGAATGTTTACCTTAAATTTGGTTTAATTAAAAAGTATAACAGCGTAAATTTAATTTATGTCTGAGAATTTAAAGAAGCCTTTATTATGGTTGTTGCAAAAAATGTGCTTGAATAAGTTTATGTAAAATGAAACCATACTAGGATGATAGCCTGGTTGGACCTTGACTATATTGAATTTTGCATATTTTTATTGAATTTATATAAAAAAAAGAGAACATTAATATGTTCTGGTAAAAGTTTTCTTCAGACTCAATTACAATTGAAATAATTTTTAGATCTTGAATATTGATACATCGTTAAAATATCCATTATAGTGTAAGATACGTCAATGTTTTTCTTTTTTTAGTTTTGGATAATAATATATTTATAAATTTTTTTTACAGTTTAGCATAAATAGATTGCTGAGATATTTGTGTATTCCGGTGTATTCCTTCTTTATAAAATAATTTCCAATTATAATACAATGCATTGAGTTACTAAAATCGATTTATGATTGGAACTGAGAAGGTAAAGATGATATTATTTTTCTTACATTTACCAATTTTCTAAATTTTCATGCTAATTTTTAAATATCTGGAAGGCGAATTCTTCATGGAATTAAGTTGATTTTACAATATTTTATAATCATAGGCCCTCTTTGAAAAATTTATAATTTACTTTGTGCAGTCATAAAAAACATTCTGTCTTTATCTCAAGATATTGTATTGTGATTTTTCTGTTTCACTTTAGTTTATACCATTCATAAAAATGAAATAAATAATTAAAAAACTTAATAATATAATCTAATTTATAATGTAAAATAAAATAATATTGTGTGGAAACTACTTTGTTTGAAAAATAATAATAAATGTTACTAATATTTTATATTATATTTCTTGCCGCCAGAGATTGTTGTGAAAATAACACTTTTGTTATTATATTCATCATAACTTGATAATATTCAATTCAGTTTGATTAAAATAATAATAATTATTTGCTATTTTTATATGAAAAGGATGAAAATTTATGTAAAAGTTCTAACTTACTCTTTTGTGAAGCACAGTAAAAACAGTCTATTTGTAAATTAAACGTGAATTATAAATTTGTAGGACGCCAGTTTTATTTATTTACTTTGTCACCTAGGTGATGAATTATTTACGCTCTCCAATATTTTTAAATAAAAAATTTTAACCACATTTTTAATAAGACAAGATCTCTTTTGTTTGAAAAGGAGTTTCATTTTAAAATTTTTAATATTCAAATTGAGCAATCTCTTGGGAGATTTTGCGATTCTGAAGAAAGGAAGGAATAATAAGCAAGTGAGAGCGAAAGTGAGGAGATTAAGGAAGGTCGCAATCAATAGCCGGCGGCCATCTACTGTTGGAGTCGCGAATCGCGCCTCCGACGAGTGTTTCGCTCGGCCGTCGGTAGGGAGAGAAGGTCGGCGCAAATCAAAACAAAGGGGCGAAAAAAGAGTAAAAAACAGGACGGTCCGCGGACAATAAGACGAAGAAAGATCCCTCTATTTATACCCCGCACGCAGGCAGGGTCCGGCGGCCTCGCTCGCGAGACGTCCGACGCGGCGCTTTTTCAGCGGCGAAAAAACGCGGGCGGCGGAGCCAAATTTGGGTTCCGGGTGCGATGCACTGAGTCCCGAAATAGCCGCGAAACACCGAAGGGTTCAAGGCTGAGATGACGCAAAAGTAAACAAAGGATTGAGGCCGCATTAGAGGAAGCCGCAGCAGCTCGCCCGCGCCCTCCGCGAGGTCTTCCATTCACTCTCTTCTGGACTGTCGCCCCGACCGGAATGCTCCTCTGACTGAGAGGTAGGCAACCCGCTTGGCCACTTCAAAATCAGTTTTTAATTGTTACAGGTGTGACAAAAAATATTTTTGCTTTGACCCGGACGTTGGCCAGATTTTAAATTATTCCTTAAAAAAACATCCTTTAATTTGCAACGATATAAATTTATTAAGTATTTTTGCAAATTTATTTATTTGCAAATTAATATTGTATTTTTTGTAATAATTTTTTTGTTTTTATTTTATTTTTTCATTCTCTCTGGAAATGATTATTGATGCAAATTTAAAATTGCAGCTTCAGAATGTTGGCCAATATGAAGAGCTTCCTGCAGGCCATCATAAATGTGTCCGAGAAGGCTGCGAACATCGCCCGGGCTTGCAGGAGAGAAGCTCAGCTCTTCAGGCTGCTCGTCCAGGAGAAGAGCAACGAGGACAAGAATCAGCGTTTTGTCCACGATTTCAAAACACTGGCCGACGTCCTCATTCAGGAGACTGTGAAAAACGAGCTCGGAACAAAGGTGAAATAATTGTTTTAAAATCAATTTATTTGAAAAGTTCAAATTTCCTCTGAAATTTATGCACCCAGCATGACCCAGTTGTCACGCCGGTTGCATACTCGGATCTGCAAAGGCGCTCAATAATATTTTATGCACGCAGAATCCCGGCCAAGCATTTGCCACACTGACCCAGATGTTTTGCTGCTGCTTATAAAGCTCAAAACAAACATTTTCCTATTTGAACAGCGATAAAAAGAAATTAAATTTGCAAAATAGATGTCAATTGGAATGTGTTTCAGTTCCCAGAGTTGATAGGCTTCATCCAAGGCGAGGAGTCCAATTTGTTCACCAACACGCTTGGTGAGACCATCGAAGTCAAAGTGATGATCACGCAAGAGGACACTGCCGAGTTGTTGTGCAAAGTTGGTTTTTTCAAATGATTGTTTTTGGAAGGAAATTGAAATTTTCTCAATAGGTTTTGGATGGTGATAAAAGTGCGGCCGACCTTTTGGCCCTCGAAGTCCACAGAGACGTGACGGTTGAATCTGATATTCCTAATGAACTTAACGATACAAACAATTTGCTGCCGATGGACACCATTGGAATCTGGATTGATCCAATTGGTATAAAGATAAAGATTTGTCATCTAAATAAACCCAATGACCTCAATTTATCTCATTTAAAATATGCTTTTCAATTAATTTCAAGTTCAAATCATTATTTGATTGTGAACTTGACTTCTTTTATGATTTATGCAATTTTGAATAAATTGAATAATCATTGTATTTTGTTAAAAAAAATAATTATAATTAAGAAAATATATATTTTTTTTTTAATTGAAAATTCTATTAATTTTCTAATTTTTCAGATTCTACGGCCGAGTACATCCAAGGAGCCGAGTGTTCACCCAATTCCCACGGAATTTTCACAAGTGGATTGCGCTGTGCAACGGTCCTCATTGGCGCCTACAACAGAAAAACCGGCGAACCCATGATCGGTGTGGTCAACCAACCCTTCTTCCAAGAAGAGGCTGAAAAGTACCTTGACGATCAATTCATTAAGTGGCCCCATTTGTAATAAACTTTTGTACGTTTAGCTGGAGAGGTACTTATTTCTGGGGTGTGAGCTGTGAGGGTGCCGTGCGAAACTCATTCGGAGAACACCCGTCACCGACGAACGTGGCCCTCCTCAGCGGGAGTGAAACAGAATCTCTCAAGGAAAGTCTTGGGAAACATTTTGAACTAGTCGAAGCAGCCGGCGCTGGATACAAACAGCTGTGCATAGCTCAGGGTTCGGCTGATGTTTATGTGTTGTCAAGAGGGTCTACTTACAGGTCAGAATTGAGAATAATTTCCAATTTGAAAGCACAGAAATAATAATTTATCACTGAAAGAAAACTTAAAACAGATTAGTCCATTTTAATTTTTTTTCGATAAAAGTTTGGTTGAAATAATAAAGCATAAATTTTTAATGACAAAATGATCATTTTGGACTGAAGCTTTTGGATGAAAAAATTTAAAAAATTTTATCTTTTTAGATGGGATTCGTGCGCACCCCACGCAATTTTGAAAAGCTTGGGCGGAGGAGTGATCAGATACTGCGAGGTTGTGGAGAAACTGCCCTCAGTGATGGCGTTCAAGGGCAATTTCGAGGACAAGTACGGTGTACGTTACCACCAGCAGGGCCGTAAGGGCTGGTGCAATGAAGAGGGTCTGATTGCTTATGCAAACCAGACGAATCTCCTCAGACTTCTATCCTGCCTTTGAGAATCTCTATCCCAAATCTTGTCTGATATATAGTTTTATCGTAATTAACGCTGAAATGAAATATGTGAATATCGTTGATATTTTTACCTCGGGACGGCCAAATAAGAGAAAAGTACGAAACTTTTAAAAGACGCTGACAACAACTCTTCCTGTTATTAAAATGCTAGTTATTTTCGTTATTTTCCGGACTTTATCTGAGATAAAAAAACGCTTTCTGTGAGTTGCTGTGCAATAAATTTATTTTATCTTGACCAGCACCAAACTTTTCAATCAAATAGTACAAAATTGGGGTGAATTTAAAAACTATTCCGCAGCATAGTGGCTGATGAATTGAGCTGACGGGTCGGTAGCATCGCTCCACCGAGGCATCCAGAAGTAGGGCAGCCAGTGGTCTTGACCGGGGAAATTTTTGTCAAACACTTGCCTGTAAATTAAATTGAATTGATTGCTGGTGAAAGGAAATTAATGCTTCTTGCCTGTAATAGAAGGCTTCTTTGGTCTTGGGGGTGCAATGAGGGAAGCGTTTCGAGGCTTCTTGCACCTGTTCGTCATTAACGAGTGCCTCGACTGACTCTTGGAGTATTTTGAAAAGGGGTTTTTTCTTGGAAGCGACGCCGTCGCTGAAAGCTTCTTTGTGTCGCCACAAAATGTCATGGGGCAGCAGGTCGCCGTCGAAGGCCTTCCTCAGGATGAACTTTTCAACGCCCTTCTGCGGCTGTCGAAGCTCTTTCGGCAAACTCAGATAGTAGCTGGTAAACTGGTGGTCCAAGAAGGGCACTCGGACCTCCAAACTTATTTTGATATTGTCAATTTAATATTAAATTTTGTACTTTTTGAAGTTTCCAACCTGTGAGCTGAAGTGGCTCGATCACTACGCAGAACGTCGTAGATGTACAGCTCGTTCAGCAACCTGAGACTCTCCTGGTGCGCCTCTTCAGCTGAAGGGGCGTCTCGGAAGTAAATGTATCCCTGAGCCACTTCATCTGCCCCTTCCCCACTGAAGATAACGGTGGAATCCGTTTTTTCCTTGATATATTTTGACAGCAGGAACATAGCTGTTTTTTTTATTTAAAAAATTAAATTATTTACAACTTCTTTCCCCAAAAATTGAGAGTTTTTTAATTTAAGCCATTAAGTTAAAAGAAATTATTTACTTTTTTAAATCATTGCATTTAATTTTAATTTAATAAAAATTTATCTAAAATTTTCTGCTCACGGATTGAGGCGCGAAGTGTTGTGATGTCCGCTATTTCAAGGTGGTACAGAACCGAATCCAGCACTGACCGGACATCCTCTTCAGTAAAAACCACCTCGTGGTGCTCGCTGCCTATGTGAGCAGCCACTCTGCGGGCTGCTACGAGATCGGGGCTCTCCTCTCCCATGCCAATGGAAAATGTCTGCAAAAGTGCAATTTGAAAAAATTCTTAATCAAAAAAATTTAAAAATTATATACTTGAACTTTGTATTGGACTCCAGCATCTTTGGCCAATTTAACGAGCAGGGCAGCAACAAGACTGGAGTCAAGACCACCGGACAAGAGACACCCTATCCTCCTGTCAGACATGAGGCGTTTTTCCACCGCAGTGGTCAGCAATGACCTAATGTTTGTGTAAATGTCATCGGCGTAATCTATCAAAAGTATTATATTTTTATTTTTGAAAAAATAATCAAGAAATTTGTAACCTTTTTCTTGAATAGCCAATTTGTAATGAGGCTTGTCGCCAATGCTATAAAACCTCTGCTGTCTCAGAAAAGTTGCCCCACCTTCAGGGTTCAGTTCGTACTCCTCGAAACAACCTGGCGGAAAAGGGTCCATTTTCCAGTCGTCGTGTCCCTCCATCAGTTTAATCAAACCTATATTTTTTAAATGAGTTATATTTTCACGGAAAGTTTTTATTTTTCATTTCAAACTCGCCCTTTGCTTCGGAGCAGACGCCGAGGACGCCGCCAGGTCCGGTCAGTTTGAATAAGGGTCGGACGCCGAAAGGGTCTCTGGCGATCAGGACACGTCTGTTCAGAGCATCCACCAGGCAGAAGGCAAAGACGCCGTCAAGCATGCTGGCCGCTTGTTTGGCGCCCAGTTTTGTGTAAAGGTGCAAAATGCACTCCACGTCGCACTTGCTCTCGTAGGTGAAGTTGAACTCATCGCGCAACTGGAATTTTTGATCAGAGTGAAGAAGAATTTTTGAATTTGCAAAATAATAAAAATTACCCTCTTGCAGTTGTAAATTTCACCGTTGCACAGGAGGGTCAAATGAGGGTTGATGTTTCTTTTCATCGGCTGCATTCCGCAAAGACCGTCATTAATTGACAAACGGTGGAAACTAAAGCAGCCATTCTAGAACATTTTCAGATGTATTCTTAATTTATTGTTTATTAATTATAGTTAATTTTTGAAAACTTATTAAAATGAATTTTTCAGCAGACAAAAGTTAATGTAACACAATGTAACATTTTTTAATTAAAAATTAAACAATTTATGTATTTTGTATAATATAACATTTAAAAAAAATATTTATTGATCTCATAGTTCAATTTACATTATTTTATTAAAAATTATTTAAACGTTCAAAGCTATTAATTTAAAATTAATATATTCTATAGAATTTTCAATAAAAATTTTGTAAATTTATGTTTTTATTTTATTATTTAATTTTTGTAATTTTTACACACCTTCATCCTGTTGTCACATTCAGTTCTCCACGCGTCCGGACCTCGGTGTGTGATCTTGGCCGACGTTTCGTGGTGTTTTGTGGTGTCCACGTCCACCAAAGCGCCGAAAACCGCCCAAATGCCGCACATTTTATTAATCAGGGACGCTCGGTTGACTATAATATTAAGTTCCTCCCTGCGGCGTGGAGCACCTAAAAGTGTTACCGTTCGTTCTATGAAACCGGCTTTTATACAGAGAGCGAGTTTTTATGACGCAACGTTTCATCAGACCGTTGGTGGCTCTGCGTGGTGGATGCGAACAAAGTTGCGCGTGGACAATTTTTCAATTATAATAATAAATTTTCAGCTCGGTTCGCTGAATTCGCTCTCGGCGCTGGACAATAAAACGGACATGCATCCAGAGCATGTGCGCGACGGCATCGCTGATAACATCATATCAGCACCCCATAGCAGAGGAGTGTTTCCGCTCTTCTGAATCCGCCTGCTATGTACACAATTTTGTAAATTTCAAATCCAATTTTCTAGAAAAAAATGTTTACTAGAAGAATTAAAACAGAAAACTCGGATTTATGGATTCCTACTTAATTACATTCACAGTTAATTTGATATTATACAATTTAGTACTCACAAAATTATTATAAAAAAAAATATTGAGACTTTATTTAAAAATTATAATAAACAAATGCATTTATGAATAATGGAAAAAAATTAAATACAATAATAAAAAGTTGTATGCTGTAGGGTCAAGTTTTAAACGTATTACAAAATCAAATACCCATGAAGGGCCCATGGCTAGGAATCTGTCGAACTAACAACAAAACATAGCGATAATTGACCAGCTCCAGAATCACCCAGAACAAAAGTGAAAAACACTATTTTATTAAACTATCGTCGCCTGTCTGGCCTTGCCCCCACCTATTTCCGTTTAGTGTTTTCATTTCTCAATCATTAAAAGACTCGCTCTCGAAAAACCCATTTCTAGTAAAATTTTACATGTTCAAACAGAGAACGCGTACTCCAAAAATAAAGTGCGCCGCAAGGAATAATAACATACAACTTATTTGACCATCAAATACGGCAGTGATTCCCTGAACAAATTATTTTTTCTAATTTATAATTCTTAATGTCTTTGAAATTCATAAAATCTAAAATTTGGAATCAAAATTTCATCTCGATGATTATTCTTCACAATGTTTGGCCAATATAAAAAAATTGTGCAGTAGAGCAAAAAAGCTAAAATTAATGATATTTTTAGATTTTTATTTTAAATTCAAAGCTTTATTGATTATTATAAATTATAACTTATTAATCTGTTGTGTAGGCCGATTGATCATGTAGTGTGTTGGCTGCTGGAAGAGCACCACAATCAGAATCGTCATGCTTTGCCTCAAAATTCTCAAGCAGCTCCGTAAATAATTCCTCTGTAGACATAGTATTTCCATATTTTGGTTCAGTTTTCCGCTTGATCATTTGAAAAATGCGCACGTCCATAAAAGGCAGCCGAACTTCCAATCTGATGATGTGCGGAAAGTCAAATTTAATTATTGCCCTACTTTAACCCCTTTTTTTACCCATATGCTGAAGATGTGTAATCCAGTTCCTGTATTTCCAATCGTGTGGAATCGTGGCAGCCGTAAATTAAAATAGCCACATCTGGATTTGCTTCAGAAATATACTTTGTGACCTCAAGCATTTCTGGTGGCCATGCATTCAAATTAATTTGAAAATAAAATAATCATCTAATTATACTTGTATATTCAGATGCATGAGTTTGAAGCATCATTTCTCTCATTTGACTCAGCAACAATGCCTTGTTTTTGGCTAGAAGACTTTCTACATCTAAAACTTCCCAATTTTCGGTGCATAAGATTTTTGAATAATTTTGAGTAGCGTGGGAATAATGAATGTCATCCCCAAAGTAATAGACCTGCAAGCAAAAAAAAATTATTGCTTTATATAATTAAAAAAATATTTAAGATACCTTTAATGCGCCGTTGTGTATTTGTGACAAAATAGCAGCCAACAACCAGGACGAAGCTGTTTCATTTACAAGACAAGCCATTTTCTTTGCTTCTAACTTAGTCATTTTTCCAACTGCATTCCTCATCTCAATGAGAATATCCAAAGAAGTGACATCTTTGGTCATTTTTTCACTAAAAACTGAAAATTTTACCTTTTATATTGTTTTTAATCTTATGTTGTTGATAATAATTTGAAATACAAATTTATTTGTAAATATTTATACTCTGAGAAACTCGGCTATCGTAGTATTGACTGTTGACATGAATAGCACCTCCATTACTCTGCACTCTGCAGGGCAAACTCCTCAACAGACCCCGGTATGAATTCGTGCAGTTTCAAATTTTCTCCCTTGACCTGCAAAGGTTGCAGTGCTTGTGCTTCAGAGCTGACCGCCAGAAAGCCGAAAGGGCCTGTCAGGGTGTGCAAAGGTCTCACGCCTTTCACGTCTCTGCACAACACAATCCTCTTCCGTTCCAAATCGACGAGGCAAAATGCAAAAACGCCGTCCAAAGACGCGGCGAACTCGACCAGGTTGTCCTGATATTTTTCGTACAGAGGAAAAATCACTTGGGCGTCGCACTTGATTGTTTGCGGGTTGTAAACCTCAAGCTGATGGATTTTCTTTATTAAATTATTTTAATTTTTGTAAATTTAATTTTTACATCTTTCCAGTTGTAAATGTCACCATTGCAAATGAGACGGTATTTATTTTTGTAGTGCAGTGGCTGCATGATTTCCTCGTTCAAGTGAGTCCCAACCTCAAGCCGGTGGTGACCCAAAACTCCAGTCTTGGCAAGAAGAAAATAATTAATTAAATCGCCTGAAATAGGGGCAATTTTAGTATACTTTGCCCAGTTGCTCAACCCGGAACGCGTGCGGTCCTCTGTGCTTTAGTTTCCAAAAACAGTCCATGAATTTTTCCAATCGCTGCGTGTCGAGCGAAGGCGCGAAAAGTGCACAAATAGCGCACATTTTTTTTTTTTATATGATTTAAAGATTTTTTACACCAGGAAGCACACAAAATTTTTACATGAAGCCTCTTCTCTATTTGAAGTAGGAATAAAGTACAGAGAGCAGTTCTTATAAGAGCCATTCATATCTAAAAAATTTTCATAGCAATTGATAAGAATTTTTAACATATGCATTGGTGAAAAACCACATATTATAATCATGAAAAAGAGATAAGCTGCCACACAATATAATTTAAATATGTATATGCCTGTCGCGCAAACTGATAAAATAAATTGTTAATCTTAATTTTAACCTTCTAAGATGTAAGTTGAAAGTTGTTCTCAATTGAGTTTTCAATAAAGACAATATATATGCAGAATGCACATTGGGACTTCTCATCGACAAAGTCAAATCAAGTCTTTGCAGCAATGGTAGTAAAAATTTAAATTTTGACTCAAAAAATGGCTCCTGTTGTTGTAAATAAATACTTGATTTGACAATGCTTTAATTTAAACGTCATATCCTATATTACTTTTTAGTTTTTACGCATACATTATAATTAATTCCGGGTAACCTGCTCAAGAAAAACCAGTTTTGAAAGCGAATTTAGATCATTCGAAACTTCAAAAGCATGCATTTTTTTAAAACTATTTTTTTAACGAACTAAAATAGCCAAAAACCTATGAGAAAGGTGAATACAAGCAGCGTATCTTGTGCACATGATTTTCGCGCATTTTTTAAACTCTTCCCCACTTTTGGAGTGTTTGATAAAGAGAATAAGAAAATTAAATTCCTCCATCTATCAAGAGGTTCAAAATGATAAAATTAGTTTAACATTGCGTTTATGATGCTAATAGACTTACTAATTTTGGTTAAATTGCTGTAATTCTCTCTTTTTTCACACAGTGTATAAGTCACCTGCTGGACTCCTTTGTTTACTACCCACTTTACATTTTGGAGCCATTCAAGCCAGCTGATTATCAAAACAAAAACATTGAAACGGCAAAACGGCACTGTTTTTGCGCTGCTGCTCATTATTTAGTTGTGCTGTTTTTGTCAAAAGAAAGCTATTTATAAAAATTTAGGCGAACGACACTCGTAAGTGAATTCCACGAGATCTTTGGCTTTTGAAAAGACTTCAGACAAGAGCTTAAATCGAAAATCGATCTCAATTCGTTAAAAAATGACCGGCACCGTAGTTCTTGGTGAGTGAAGTTACATAACAACACAAATTAAATTATAGTTTTAATTTTGAATTCGTGTAATTATTAATATATTTGTCTCACTTTCTTAGGAGGTGGCTCTGGTTTTGTCGGAACGGCCCTCGGAAATCTCCTGAGGAGAAATGGCTACAACATTATCACGGTTTCAAGAATGCCAGGACCAAACCGAATGTCTTGGGTTGGTATTTTTTCCCCTCCGATCTAACATTTTTTTTTTAATAAAATGTAAGCTAATTTTGGTAAAGTGTAATTTAAAATTTTGAAAGGAGAATTTTTACTTTATCTTAATTAAATCTGCGTTAATTTCTAGATTGAACTGCAGAAGACTGGCATTCCAGACAGATGCAAGGCTGTGATTAATCTGGCAGGACAAAATATTCTTGATCCAAAGCACCGCTGGACCGAGGGATTCAAGCAAAATGTGTACTCGAGCAGAATCAACACAACCCAGTGGCTGGCCGAGGCCATCGACAGAGCACCGACCAAGCCTGAAGTCTTCATCACAGTCTCGGGCGTTGGTAAATAGTTTTCTGTAACAAAATTGCACTTTTTAATTTAAATTTATGCTTTTTTATTATTTTTCAGGCTATTACAAACCAAGTGAGACTGAAGTTTACGACGAAAGCAGCAAAGGGGGTGATTTCGATTACCTCTCCAAACTCTGCACAGACTGGGAAGCGGCTGCAAAGTTGAGTTCCAGTCCAGGAGTCAGACAAGTCACAATTAGGTGAAAAAATTCTTTGTAATTTTTCCCCATAATTTATTAAGAAAACTTATTTAGATCTGGGGTCGTTTTGGGCCGTCTGGGCGGAATGGTGCAGCAGTTGTACTTGCCCTTCTACTTGGGCGTGGGAGGCCCTGTCGGCAGCGGCAAACAATTCCTTTCTTGGATCCACGTCCAGGACATTACCAGAATGTTTTTGTTTGCCATCGAGAACAAGAAGGTCTCGGGAGTATTAAACGGAGTCGCACCAAAGGTAAAATAAAATAACTCAAATTATGAATCTAGGTAAATAAAATTTTTTCTAGATCTGCACTAATGGCGAGTTCAGCAAAGCATTCGGCCAGGCCATGTGGAGACCTTGGTTCCTTCCAGTGCCAGAGTTTGTGCTGAATTTTGCTTTCGGCTCGGAGAGAGCAATGATCATGACGAAAGGTCAGCACGTGGTTCCGAAGCGAGCTCTTGAATATGGTTTCAGCTACAATTTCCCAGAGATTAAATCAGCTTGCCATCAGTTAGCAAATGTTTTGGCAGTTGAGGAGTCCTTGTAGTCAAATTTTTGCATTTGTCAAATTAAGAAATCTAATCTAATTGTTTTTTAGCAAAAATTAAGTTCGTTTAAATCTCAATCTGTTTAACAAGAAGATACTACCCCTGCCAGAGATATTTATTTGTATCAAAGGATATGATAGTTAAATTTTGACAAATGTAATTATTGTAAATAAAAATGTAGAATTTGTACTAAATCTAAAATCAGCAGTGGTTGAGATTTATATAAATTGTCCAAATTGTCATATATATTTTTTTTTAGATTTAAAGTCATCGATTTTTGTAATACCTTTTGATCTTTATTTAATCAGATTCATTGACAGGAAACTGGCCATTTGAAGTTACAGACCGTGAAATCATTTAATTTTTTTTTATTTTTTTTCAATGAGTCGGATTTTTTTAGTGAAATTTACTTAACAATGAACAATATTAATTTTTGGTTTCAACACATTCACTAGAGTAGCTTAAACTCTTAACTTATCTCCTTCAATCGCCTTAATAGAAAATCTACAGTTGCAGTGTAATTGATCCAGGCAAGATCACAGATTTCAAATCAACATCTCTCTTCAGCGCTCCAACATTCATTTGCACATCTATATATCTACATAATTTTTATTATAAATGCCCTTTTAGAATGCTCAATTAATATCACATTGAATAATTAATCAATCAAATTCAATAATGCCAAGACATCCAGGCAAAAGTTGAATTTTGGATTTTTTTTCAACATTTAAAAATTATATAATTTTCTTCTTCACCTTGCACACTCATTTTATTTTTTTGCTATTGACACTGATATGCAGCTTCTCTGAATGTTCACTATTCACTCTCTGAAGTCAATTATTGTCGGCATTTCCCGCGCGCTCTACAATTATTAATTTTCACAATGAGCAACATTCAAAGGTGCTGAAGATTAAGCTCATGCAGGCACTCGGCAGCGAGTTGAACTTTGTTTATAAACACACATTTTGTGTCCAGCACTTATAACATCTCTATATTAGCAGTGTTGTTTTAAATTTTCCTCTCAACGGTTTGCTGCAATTTTGTTTTAATTCAGTCGAGTTGTGAAAGGAGGAGTTTTCAAGCTGGGGCGCTAACTCGTGGAGATCACAGAATTAACGATTATTCTCGTGGCACTTTTTACATCTCTTGCTATCTAATGATGTTCTTGAGCTTCTCCTTCGGCCGCTCAAGAAAGATGGGCGTCACATTAGAAGGCTTGTATTTTCTTAAATTTTAACAAAAATTATATTTAAGGTCGGAATTTAAGATGAATACTTACGAATAATCAGAGTTAGGAACTCCAATGACTAGCAACTCGCTGCCTTTGGCGTGCATTCGCCACATACTCTTGTGGTAACCTCTTGCGTCCAAGTCCCAGATTTTGAAACACTGAAAAATATAATTATTTTCATATACAATTTAATTTTTCCTCTTTTACTAGGAACTTTTGAAAATAATATGATTTTACAAGAAAACTTTAAGCAAATTTCCGATTAAAACAAAAAATGTTTTGAAAGCTTTGAAGTCTGTCATTACCTTGGCCACTTGCTTCCAGGTTCCGAAATCCTTTGGCTCCTCCATTTTAATATACATAACAAAAACTCCTCCCTATTAAAAATGATTTTATTTAGGAATAATTTCTACCACCAAAAATTACCCTTTTCTCCGGAATAAAATTCTCCTCGCAAGGCGACTTGCTATGATCCAGGACTGTAGCTCTTTTTATCATACCAATCACCAGCTCTTCGTAGTTTTCTTTCTTCATACTGAAAAATATTTTTATTTAAACATTGAAGTCTCAATCTTGTGAAGTACAACACACCTGTCAATATCACGCATCTCAACGTAGGGGACGGTGTTCAATGAGTGCTTTTTGAAGTAAACATCCTGGAAGTAGGAGTTCATGTTCAGTCCAGAAGCACCAAAGTGATACGTTCGGGAAATGTCAGGGACAATGCACTCTCGACCTTTCCTCACTTCCGGCAAACGCATCCACATGTCCCAGTCCCACATCTGGAAAAAAATGAAATTGTAAGAAAATTTAATCAAGCCAATAATTTATATATTTTACAAAATTTTATTAATGATTAAATTCTTTTTTAAATGAAAGAAAAAATTGCACACTTAATGTGAGATATCTCTACATTGAGCCGATGTAGTGATAAATCTCTACATTCGGCAGATGTAGAGAAATATAAATAATGTATGTTAAAATTTTACCTTTTCCGGAGTAGGCCATTTAGGCTCCAGTTCTTCTTTGTACAGCGACCTTTTGAGAATCCACCCCAGTCCAGGCATGGTCTCCACCCTGTAGAGTTGACTCGGGTCCTCACTAGTGTGTTCGTAGCCCTGGTCATTCCAGGCCGATATGCAGTAGATGCTGTCGTCCTCCTCCAGCAGCCGCTTTGTCTGGCTGAAAAAGCTGCAAAATTTTTCGTTTACAAATAGAAAAAAAAATGAATTTATCTCAAAATCTTTACCTGAAAAAGTCGGGGGCCACATCCAAGTCCTCCTCGATGATGATGGCGTATTGAGTGTCGGGGAAAATATTAAAAGTGGCCGTCAGGGAGGCCTTGTAGTGTTGAGAGATGCGCGCGTTCTTGATGCCGATCGGCGTGTGCTGGATTCCCCTCAGGCCGAACAGTTTCGTCACCTCGAGGGGCTCCTCAAAGTAGCCGTCGATGAAGACGGTGATCATGTCGGCATTGGCGCCGTGGGCTGACAGCAAACTTCGCAGCATGCGGTACAGGTAGTGGGGTCTGTTGCTTGCGATGATCGCCACAGGCACATCATTCACCTGAGGGATACGAATTTCCATTAATGTTTTAAATAAAATAAATGAGAGATATAAAATTTGATTCAGGAAATCAATAGAAATAATTTTATCTTACAATATTAGTAAAAAGTTTTAAGGGTAAATTTAGAATTTTTTGTATTATTTTTTAGGATTTACCAGACTTTTGCAATGTATGCCTACTTTTGTAAAAAAAAATTAAAATAAAAGTCAATGTTGAAAATAATTATTTAAAACAGCGATAGTAAAATTTGGTACTTTTAATCAAAATCAGAAGCGGCCGAGAAGGACCAATTTTACTTGCTTTTATCCATTTTTTAATTTAAAATATGATGGAGTTTCATTTTGGGTCGTTCAATGGTCTCCATTTGAAATCAATGAAATTTATCTTTCTGATAAAATATAAAATACTAAAATGTAAAAAATAAAAGGTTCAAATAAACACATTTTTTGTACCTTTCCTAAAACTTAGGAAACTGAAAATATAATAGAAAAACTTGAATTTTTCTTAAATTTTCCCTTCAAAAATTAATTAGAATTAATTAAAGAACAGAAAAATTCAGGCATTCACCTGGCTACGAGGTAAAGGAGCGGGGTTGAAGATGAGTGGGGCAGGATCTGCACAGCTGCAGACGGAGCCGTAGCCCTCGATGCGGCTGCAGAACTGGCGGCGCCTCCGGTTCTCGTCCGTTTCCGGCCAGTCGCACTCGCTCTCCTCGACGGGCACCAGCGGCACCTCCACCCTCAGCACCACCGGCGCGCCCCACGTGTTGAACTCGGTGCTCTTGCTGTACGACTCGCCGAACATTTTGCCGCCCTTCTTGCTCACCATGGCCCACATGTCGCGCCAGCCGATGACCTGCGAGCGGCGCGACCCCAGCCGCTTCAGCAGGTCGCGCGCCGGCGGCTTCATTTGGAACGTCCCCTCGTCCTGAAAATCAATTTTGAATATGAACCACTTGACAATGATTAATAATTCAGTGGACGCCGTGAACACAATTAAAGCGACGCACAGCAGCATAAATTTTTGCCTAAATTAGCTGGAAATATAGAAAATTGTTCAAGCTGGTAATTAAAATAAATTAAATTAGTTGATAGAATTAAATGTTAAATTATTTAAAATTGTAAATTTTATAAAAATTAAAATAAACACCTGGATTAAATAAAAAATAAATCTATAATTTTATTTTTGAGCATAGATAAAAATTAAAACTAATAATTGTTTTTACTAAAAATTTGAAGTCCCCAAACTAAATATAAATTGAATTCATAGACTACCAGCCTGACAAAAATTAAGCTATTTGCAACATCGAGCTTTTATTTCGCCATGAAAAATGTGATATTTCTGTCACCTTTTTGTGCAGAACCTTGCTTCTTCTAATTCGAAGCTTTTTGGATCCCTACAAGTCAAAACAAACCAAAATAAAACTGATCTTCTGACGTTTTTGGAATCAGAACCGATCCTTAAACTAGAACTCACCTTGATAGCGAAAATGATGATCCGCCCGTCTGAGACCATGTTCAGAAAAAGGGACATTGCTTCGTCCTCGTGCGGCGAGTATGTGTCAAAAGTGCGCTGCGCCATCACACTTCCCGAGGCCTGGTTCAAAACTAGAACGTGAATCCCGCGACCCTTGTGCTCCTCGCCGTCCTCCAGAATCTGAAATTTGCACAATTTACTTAAAAAAAAATACTTCAGTGAAAAATTTTCATTTGATAGACAAATCACTAAAATTTCTTTTCAAATAAAATTAACAGCCTTACAGAACAAGAATTTAATTTATTTTGTTAAAATATTTTTTTTAAATGTGGCAAAAAACTAATGTAAAAAATTATCCAACTCATTCCTCAAAATTTTCTCTATAATAGTTATTGAGACAAAGCAAATTATGTGCGTCTTATGAGAAGTCCAGGACCAGGATTTATTTTTTAATTTCCAATTTTGGCAGCCAAAATTAAATTTGTCTGTAGTGGCTATAAAAATTGCAAAGTTTTAATAACAGGAAACAAATTTGAACCCATTAAGTTTTTAAACTTTTATGATTGATCTACATTACTTAAAGCTAATTGTAAACTGCATGCAAAAAATTATTTTGCTTACTGTGGCGCCGTCGACGGTGACTGAAACTTTGGACTGACTCGAGAGAACTTCGATGGCTAAAGCTTTGGGTTGGCTTTCCTGCAGACGGAAGTTGTTTCGCCTGCTGTCAGCGTCCACCGCCGCGTCACTGCCGCTGGCACCTGCAATCAAAAGTTTTCGCAGAGTTTACTCTCTGCAGAAATGGCGAGACAAGCAGAAAAAGGACAGGAAATTCGTGCGCCGCAGGAATAGACTTCTCGGCTGACGTGCCTGTCCGGCGCGTTGCATAAACCTGGGTTTCGCAGGCGACGGACTTGGTCTTTCTAGTCAATTTTGTGCTTGGCTGAGTTTATCTCCCATTCCAGAACTTCAAAAGTAAAGCCATGAAAATGTCACAAATTGTTACTTAAAAGAAAAAAAAATAAAACGCTTCGTTTTCAAATTTTATAAAAATCTTTTAAGCAATAAATTTTAAATTTTAAAATGCATATTTGACTTGTAGATTTATTATTATTTTATTTTTATAATATACGTTTTTCTGAAAATTATCCCAAGTTCAAGGTAGGGTGAATAAATTTTAAATATTTTCATTCTGTGTTAATCTTACCTGTGAGCAGCGCCTCTTCTTTCAATCTGCCTGCCGTGTCCATGATGAACATGACGTTGATGCAGATGGTGACCAGTAGCACCACAACCAGGATGGACTTGAACACCTTGGTCAGCCATCGTCGGCGGCCGATTGGGCGAGAAATCAAAATTTGCGGGCTGTAGTGGCCCTTTTTGGAGCCGCCATTTCGCCAACCATCCATTTTTCTGCAAATAAAAGGTTTAATTTTATCTCAAAATTAAATTACAGGAATTTAATGCTTGAATCATTGACTTGGTGACAAATAGTTTGCATCTATTTTTTATTTTAATTTATGAAGTAACCTTTTTTATGATTTCTATTATAAAAGTGCATTTCAATCAATAAAAATTACGTTTCTTTATGAGATTTTTTGGTAAAATTAGTATTATTATTATTTGTTTTTTTAATTAAAAAATCCTAATATGGCAAAGTTGTCTTGGTTAAGTGGAAATTCCAACATGATATAAAATTAATAATTTCATAGGATTTTGTTGTTTCAATGAAAACTGAGAAAACTCTAAAAAAAATAACATATTAGTTGTTAAATTTTTATCCCATCTTGACATAATACAACAATTGTTATTATTAAACTATTGAAATCTATATTAAATATAAATAAATTATAATTTTTAAATTTATTATTGACCTTCTAGTCTAGAGGATGAATGTTTAAATATCGCTCAAATAAACACAGAATTTACAATTAGATAAAATAAAAACTTGACTTTTAGTATTTCTTCAGTATTTCTTAAACAAAATCCAACAGAAATTCCCTTTGAAGCGGTCGGTGTTAAGCAATGCCAAGCACTCCAGTCTCTATATTTGTTTTTCAACCGTATTTACCAAACTGACCGAATATTTGCCCGAGTACACTTTTTCATCTGCGGCTGCTTCAACCCGACGAATAGTTAGTTTGAAACGCTCGCTCACTCGCAACTCAAGAGGCCATTCATTGCGGCCGCGCCTCGTTAAAAACTCCCTTTCGGAAGCAAGAAGTACTCGTACGTCGAGCGAGCATTGATTCGAGCCTGCGAATAAAAAGGCAGCTCGATTGCAGAGCCGGGAGAGTAAAAAAATTCAACTCTTTGTGAGCAGCAGAATTTTTAGAGGGCGCTCTCTTGAAACCCGACTTTGCCCATCAATCACCGCGCCCTAATAACAATGAAAATTATTGTGCTCCGTTAATCAAGTCTTAAATAATATAATAAAAATGATTTTGAAAGAGGAACCCCATGAACGTGAATTTTTCATTTTTATCGCCGCCGCTGCCGCGTTGCCTGGCGATGACTGCGAATTTCGCCTTTCCTCTCTCTCCCCTTTTTGTGAGCTTTCATTGCCAGACAGCACTTTGAATGAATATCTTTTTGAAATGGGATTATGTGAATGGAACTTTTTGAAAAAAGAATTCGTTGCGAATTTCGTTGAATCGAATATGTCCGTCTGCCTCCTGGCACTCCACAGAGATAAAATAGTCTCTCATTTTACATTTTATAAGTGGTTCGTTATATCCTCAAATGGAACAGCATCATTCATTTTTTTCCGAATTGCAGCTCTTTGAAAATAGGTCAGAGTGGGCAGAGAGTGGCATAATTCCTTCCTTTTTGAAATCACTGTTGCGGCTTAAATATGCTTTTTGTTGCAAGTAATGAAGGTTATTTGTGTAGCACATTGAAATCTCTGCTCATATTGCTATCCACTTTTTTTTTAAATGTGAATATTTTAAAGCTTTCCATTCCACAGAAAAACAAGTTTCAATATAATTTAAAAATCCTGGGAAATCTTCGAGTAGAGAAAAAATTATGAAATAAACAAGACAGTACAAAGAAAAAACTAATGGCTTTTATATAATTTCTTAAACGTTTATATTTAGAAAGTATTTGGTTATGGGAAAAAATTAAAATAACGAAAAAAAAGCTCATTACCGTCTTTTAAGTTGTTTAAAGTGATAATAAAATAATTAAAAATTAAAAAAGTCCCACTAAAAAAGTCAAAATTGTTTGGGAACCATTTTTGATAAATTTAAAAATTTCATTATGGAGTCTTCTTTTGATTTTTTTCCGTGAACATTTTAATATTAAATTTATCATAAATATGCTTATTTTACTGCCCACTACACATAATTTCTTGATGAATTTGATTTTAAAAAGTTTTATTTTTTCAAATAAAATATAAATCGGCATTACTCATATTTATATAATTCAATTCTCACCTGAGTTATGAAGTCCGTTACTCTTCCATCAAGAACTCCATCAATGTCACCTCTGGAATCAAATTATTTCTCGAATCAGTTTTTTGTTGTTGTGACGATGATTACATTCTGTTTTCAAAACAACTTTTAACATGAACCATCCTCCGGAATTAATCCAATTTGCAATCGCGCTCCTCCAAAAACAACAACAGAGTTATTATTTTACCAGTTTATAAAGCCACATTAATCCGCCTGCAGGGATTCGGTTTTTTTGGTTTCTGACCGAGTCTCTTTCGGTGGAAGGAAAAGCCGACAGATTATCTAGCGGATCGGATTTCGGCCCGTGCGTTTTGGCAGAGGGAGGAAGCAGGTTTGTTTGCTTTGGCCAGAGCAAAGGGAGAAAGCCGGAGCAGGTAAAACTGCGAAACAACACACAGGTCAGAGGGAAGCCGTTTGAAGTCGGTGCGCGCGCGGCAGACCGTGATTACAGCAAAACAAATCCACATTTCTGTACACAGGGCTTTGGTTTCACGGCGTCGTTGATTAAGAAGTGACGCTGCGGGCAAGAAAAAGGCTTCCTCGGATGACCCCGATCGCCCCTGCATTCATTCAGAAGGCCTGTTTTTCTCGCCCTCGAGCCGTTCCTTGTACATGCAAAATTGAAACTCATCTCGGATTTGCTTTGTGTACGTGCAAGTGTGGTCAGACAGAAATGAAGCAGGCCGGTATACATTCTGACGTCAAAGGTTCAAAATCGCAATTTATTTTGAACAGAAAATCCTTCAGTAAAAGACAACCGAGGAAAATATAACACAAAATATTGGTTGTGATGATATTTTTTGGACTGATTCTTTAAAATATATTTTAAAATATAATTAATAGAGAAAGTAGAATTTCACAGGGTTAAATTTAATTATCAGTCATCGCCTCTGGGCTTTAATTAATTGTCAATATTTTGAATTTTTTCAGCACGCCCTTCTTGTTTTGTGGGGAAACAAAATAAAAGTCCAAACTCCAAACAAAAACTAATTTACCTTGAAAATAGAATGGATGCTATTTTGTATGTCATTCCCATTAATTAAATTTGGCCTAGAGCAAATTAACTATTTTTTAAATGAACTATTAAATGCGAGCGCTGCCATGAATGGTTTGACCTCAGTAGTTTTGTATAAAATTCAAATTATGAAATTTATTTTCAAAGTAATTTAAATATTTATAGCGGAATTTCATGATCAAGAGGGTTGATTCAAATTGTTTCAATTTTGATTCGGCGTTAACTTGGTTGGTTTTCCGAGTCACGATACAGTTCCGGAATTTGTTTTATTTTCAAAATAATAAACTATTAAAGAAAAACGACAATGAAAGCAGAATTTAAATCAAGACACCTAAATTTCAATTTGATTATTTGGATCATTTTTAATTTCTGATTGTGAACTGTGTTTGAATGTGACAAAAAGATCATAAAAATCGTCATATTGAAATAAAAATTATTGCAAGTGAATCATTTTAAAGCGTCAAAATTGATGCTTGAATAATTCAAATTATACTCCAATTGATAATAAAATAAGTCCTAAAAGATTTCAGCGAAATTTGAACATAGAAACAACCTACTTTGAATTTAATGCTCTGCTATCATACATCGTAAGTGAGAATAACAGAAACAATTTTATTATTAATTAAGCAGCAAGAATACGCTAGAAATAAAAATTTGTGATCAAATATTAATTCATATCCAAGTTTTAATATGATATTTAACCTTGTAACAATATATTTCCATATTTTCTTAACTAGCATCTGCTAATCCATCTGTTCGCAAAAAGGCAAAATAAAATAAAAAATAATTAAAATATAAATCAATTTTAATTAAAATTATTTGATGAGCTAATATATATTATTTTTTGCCAATTTCTGTTGCATTCTCTCCACACATATTTTCAAATTGTTGTTCGCTGAAAAAGGGAGATTGTGCGGTGCAGACTTTTGTTGGCAGAAGATGCACGGGCGGCTAAAATTGAATTTCGCTCTGGCGTCTCGGGACAAACCGCAGAGCGTGCTGCTGCAGCACAAAGGAGTTCGCCGCCGCCGCCACCAGCTCCGCCGTCAAATTAATAAATTTCCGTGCACGCTGCGGTCGTTCCATAAGTCAAGCTGCTGCTTTCAAATCCTCCTCCCAGAACACCTGTATGGGGATTTGCTTGCTCTTGGCCTCCCCCGGGGGCTCAAACTCGATCCCTGATCGTCCCTCCCGACGAACGACCCTAAGACTTTGCGGTCCAAGGTGGGCATCCCTGCTTTCTCTCTCTCGACAACTAGTTGCGTTGAATTAGGCGAGGGATTTGCCGCGAAACTTGCACGATGGATGCGCGCGCGAATGCGCTAATTTCATTTCGCCAACTCGGCTCCAGAAGGGAATAGGGACCGCTATTATATCGCTGAGAAAATGAGCTTACCAGGATTGTGCAGTTGCTTTGCCTTTCACCAGACATGAAGATTTAGTTAGTTTCAAACAAGATTGATATCGTCTTGTTTTGAATATTACGAAATATTCCTAGAATATTAACATTGTTTTAATTCAATTTTAGTGTATGTCAAAAGGACTATTATTTTTATTTCATATTAAGTCCTTAAAAGAATTAAGGACGAGAGAATTTTAAAACAGCCTTGATTATTATTATTTTTTGAGAGGCTCTTCTTTGTTCGCTACTCGACCTCTGCTTTTTTGCCTTTTTTACATATGAATGTTCGAACGTGCACTTCTTGGGCTTTGGGTTTCCGCGTGCATGCGATTTCCAAGGCGCACGATCGTACTTTATTGGCTTTGCTTACATTTTTCCTAAATCAGCGTGCATTATCGCGCAACGCGTGCGGCCACGTGCTCCGAATACCAAAATTGGCGTCGGCGCGTATTTTACACAGCAAATAATAGGGTTGGCGCTGCAGAGGCGATACCAGGAAAAATTCGAAGCAACAGCAGCCGGCAAAAAAAATCCCAGAAGGCGAATCGAATGTCCACCTTGCGGAAATACGACTAGATAAGCCCCAAACCTGCTCTCCAGAAAAATGGTATTTTTACAGATTTCCTTTTTTATGACAAGGATTTTAGGGCTTTGTGCACTAATTCCAAATAAATTTATTGTTACAACCCCTCTTTAAAAAAAAAAAATATTTTCTAGATTTGGTTTTCACCAACAAATTTAATATAGAATCATATTTTCTTTGCTATTTATTTCATCAGTTATCAAATTTTAATTAAATAAACCCAAACTCTTTATGAGAATCTTCAGGATCGATTACTATTTTTAAAACTAAACTGATAATAGTGCCTGTTAAAATTTATGTTAAAATCAGTACAAAAAATCATAGTACATGCCTAGTTTTTTACACAAAAAAAATTTCTAGCAAAAATTGAGGAGGAAAATACTCGGCAATCTCTTGTTTTCATACCCCATTCTTTTCCAATTTTCACATATTTCCACCCCTATCACGCAGTTCCTTTGGCAGAGCCACCCCCGATAGGTGTGACAGAGATATCAAATTTACAAGGACGAGCGGCCGTGGACGGGAAAATTTTATTTTTACGACGGCGGCCATGTATCATGAGGAGCGCCCCGGGATTACATCTCGCCGGAAAGGAAGGTGCTCTCCCCTGCATTCCCGTCACGTCCCGCGAAAAAGGAAAAGGGTGGTGTAAAAAAGCAGCAGCCCCGGATGAATCGACGCCCAGATTGCAACGGCCATAAATTCCTCGCCGCGTCGAACTCTTGTCTCTCTGCGCGCGCGAATTTTATCACCACGAGACGAGGGGCATTAGCGCCTTGTTTGGAGAAAATGTGTCGACAGAGAAAGAGACCAGATTGCTTCTGTCGACGGAGAACTTTTTTACTGACTTGGGAAAATGTAAAAGGAGTCGTGGGAAAATTTCCCGGCTCGCACCTGTCAGTTAAGATTGGCGTAAAACTGGAGTTGCTTTTCAAGTGCCTGCTCCATGCATCATCTCATTCATCTCACAGCCGAGCCTGCTTTTGCAAAGATTTTTTTAATGGAAAGCTCCTTAAAAGAAAGATAGTAGAAAATAGAGATGAAAGAAATCTCTGATTATTATTAGTCTTTATATTTTTTACTTTTGAAATAATGGTTTCATTTCAAATCCAAAGATGAAAATTGCAACAAAAATTTTATTTAAATAATAGTAACTATTAATAAAATTTTTAAGATTAACTGTGGCAGAAGATTTCTTCCTAAATTAGATTGTTTTAGCAATGATTGATCAACAATATTGTATTGTTCAATATTTTTACAGAAATTTACAAGAAAAACTTGGATTCAAAACAGGTATACGTGCTGAAATCTCTAAAATTTTCCTGTTTTTTTTTTACTAATTAAATGAACTTTCACACAACCTTAATTAAAAGAAGAATGGCAGCTAAAATAAAGAAATTTTATCGTAAGGCTCTCATCAACACATGAATTCGTTGCTATTAATAATTTTGCGTTCTAATAAATTATTGTTACTTGGTTTTGGCCGCGATTCTTCCTGTAATAATTATACAATTAGACTATTATATTTATTAGATATAGTGGATAATTTGAAATGTTTTTAATTTTTTTTCCAAATTAAACTGCAATTCAATTTGAAAGAAATCGGAATTTATTATTTGCAAAAGAAAATTTATTTCTGGTTCTTTGAAATAAAATCTTTAATGTAAATATCAATATTATCCATCAATCTTTTTTCCATTTTAGATTTCACTTAATATTATTCAATATGAATTTTTTCTTTTCCTTTTTAAGCAGCTTCTTTATTTTAATGCAAAGCCAATCTCGGAAGTTGTGACGTCCCGGCTTAATTTATGAGACAGCCTCTTGGAAAAAACAAAAGTGACGATAAAAGCCTCGAGGGAAAAACTTCTTCTCGCGCGTAAAAAGCGCTTAAAACGTCACACGCCGCGATGAGGAGACGTGTTTATATCAGAATTCTATTAATTTTATCTCGTTATAAATATTTAAGCGCTACGAAAATAAGGAAGGATGCTCATTTCTATACAGTCTACTTCTCACGACACTTCTTTTCTT